TCTATGAAAGATGAGGTGAATCATAGAATTGATGAGGGGAAAAGAGTGAGCAGTGCACTTAGGAGTCTGTGGAGACAAAGAACTTGCCCTTGGAAGCAAAGAGGGTAATGTATGAGAGTATAGTTTTACCAATGCTCTTATATGGGTGTGAAGCATGGGTGATGAATGCTGCAGTGAAGAGAAGGCTGGAGGCAGTGGAGATGTCATGTTTGAGGGCAATGTGTGGTGTGAATATAATGCAGAGAATTCGTAATATAAAAGTTAGGAGTTGGTGCGGAATTGCCAAAACTGCTGTCCAGAGGGCTGAGGAAGGGTTTTTGAGGTGGTTTGGACATGTAGAGAGAATGGAACGAAACAGAATGACTTCGAGAGTGTATAAATTTGTAGTGGAGGGAAGGCGGGATAGGGGTTGTCCTAGGAAAGGTAGGAGGGAGGGGTTAAAGGAGGTTTCATGTGCGAGGGCTTGGATTTCCAGCAAGCATGCGTGAGTGTATTTGATACGAGTAAATGGAGACAAATGGTTTTTAATGCTTGACGTGCTGTTGGAGTGTGAGCTAAGTAACATTTATGAGGGGATTCAGGGAAACCGGCAGGCCGGACTTGAGTCCTGGAGATGGGAAGTACAGTGTCTGCATTCTGAAGGAGGGGTGTTAATGTGGCAAGACAGTGATGGAGTGAATGATAATGAAAGATTTTTTTTCTTTTTCAGGCCACCCTGTCTTGGTGGGAATCAGCTGATGTGTTAATAATAATAAAAAATAGGGAAGTGCTGGGGGGGGGGGGAGAAGATGGATGGTATTCAGGCTTAATTTAGGGAACTGGAACACAGATCAAATTCCCTAGATCAAGAGCCCCTCCCCACTTATGTACTAATAATGATAATAATAATTATTATAATAATAATAATAATACAATAGTAATAATAATATAAATAATAATAATCCTAGGTAGTAGGTTGGTAGACAGCAACCGCCCAGGGAGATACTACCGTCCTGCCAGGTGAGTGTAAAACGAAAGCCCGTAATTGTTTTACATGATGGTAGGATTGCTGGTGTCCATTTTTCTGTCTCATAAACATGCAAGATTTCAGGTGCGTCTTGCTACTTCTTCTTACACTTAGGTCACACTACACATACATGTACAAGCATATATATATGTACACACCCCTCTGAGTTTTCTTCTCTTTTCTTACTAGTTCTTGTTCTTGTTTATTTCCTGTTCTCTCCATGGGGAAGTGGAACAGAATTCTTCCTCCATAAGCCATGCATGTTGTAAGAGGCGGTTAAAATGCCGGGAGCAAGGGGCTAGTAACCCCTTCTCCTGTGCATATTACTAAATGTAAAAGGAGAAGCTTTCATTTTTCCTTTTGGGCCACCCCGCCTCGGTGGGATATGGTCGGTGTGTTGAAGGAAAGAAAGAATAATAATAATGAGAAACTTCAAAAGGCTGCCAGCAGTTGGCACCATCATCAGCAAAATATTAGTAAGCACTACTTTTCACCTTACTAAAGTTAAGTAGTCTTTAAGTATTAGGTTAAATCTGCCCAAAATGCATCGGCATGATAGTGGCTTTCTTTGCTCCAATCATATTATGATATGTAAGCATAAACCATACCCCCGGCCGGGATTGAACCCGCGGTCATAGAGTCTCAAAACTCCAGCCCGTCGCGTAAGCATACACTGTAACCTTTGCAAAGAAATAAATACAGTATTTTATTTATTATTTTATTTAAAGAACCTCCTTTGAGGGGGAAGTATGCATCCTGAAATTTCGTTCATATCCAGAAGCAAAAAATCGACCGAATAACGGTTTGTATTCTGAAAAGTTTGCATGGTGGGGCATTCATAAGCCGAGGTTCCACTATATATGAGTAGACCTTCTGCAGTATTCCTCCCTTCTTATGCTATTATGTGGGAAAATGATGAAGTTTCTTGGCAAAGAGTTCAGCTAAGTTATAGAAGCCGTTGTTTTGGTTTAAGTTGTTGTATATACAGATAAGTGGTGATTCCAGGATTCTTCGGCACTGAGTGTTGTCTTCTCTGGCAATGAGTCTTGCGTTTCTGTAGTTGATTAAATGGTTGTGTGAATTTTGGTGTTGAACACAGGCATTCCTTAAATTATCAGATCTGCCTGTGTACTGGTGTTCTGAAATACATGTCTGGAGGTCTCTGGATGTTTTGCCCACATATAATTTCCTACAGTCATTACAAGGGATAATGTATACCTCTGCAGAGGATCGAAGCTTGTCCTGTCTATTACTGGTAATGTCCTTGATGGTGGTGGATGTGGAGGTAGATACATGTGCTTGGAATGATGTACTCGAAAAGATGTTGGAAACTTGTTTGGCAATGGAGTTGGTGGGGAGGACTATGTATCTCTTCTCTGCAGTGTCTTCTCTGGGTGTGTTGAAGACGTTTAATGCCCGCCGTCTGCAGTCTCTGATGAAGTGATGAGGATAGTGAAATTTAGAAAATACTTGTTCAGTTAGAGAGCATTCTTCCTCAAGGAACTCACTGCTGCAGTTTCTGAGTGCGCTCAGGAAAAAGCCTATAATTACACCACGTTTAGTTTTGGTGTCATGGTGAGAGTAGAAGTGGAGAAGATCAGGTTGGCTGGTAGGTTTTTGATAGACTTTAAAATGAAGTTCATGGTCAGCTTTGCAGAGAACATTAAGGAAAAGAAGAGTGTTGTCGACTTCTTCTTCTAGTGTGAACTGGATTGAGGGCTCAACCTGGTTGAGCTTGTGTTGGAGAGCTTGAATGTTGAAGCGTCTGGGAGTTACGATGAGAATGTCATCAACATAAAGGAGCCAGGTGACAGACGAGGGAATAATGGTGGAAAATCGCTCGGCTTCCAGATGTTTCAGGTACAGGTTCGCCAGAATGGCACTAAGTGAAGAACCCATGGATAGTCCAAAAGTCTGCTGAAATAGGTGATTTTCGAAAGAGAAACACGTAAAGCCAATACATAGTTCAAAAAGGTCGATGAAATTGCTGGCTGGAATAGGAAGATCAAGTGAATCGTCAGTTTTCCTGTGCAAGAGATCGATGGCATGTACTTTGGTGAACAGGGATGTTATGTCAAGACTAGTTTCTGGTTCCTGATGATGTTGCGAATGCAGCATCAATCGTCGCCACTTCTACTCTCATTACAACACCAAAACTAAACATGGTGTAATTATAGGTTTTTTCCTGCGCACACTCAGAATCTGCAGCAGTAAGTTCCTTGAGGAAGAATGCTCTCTAATTGAACAAGTATTTTCTAAACTTCACTATCCTCATCACTTCATTAGAGATTGCAGACAATGGCATTAAACATCTTTAACACACCCAGAGAAGACACTCCCAAAAAGAAATACATAGTCCTCCCCACCAACTCCATTGCCAAACAAGTTTCCAATATCTTTTCCAGTACCTCATTCCAGGTATCTACCTCTATATCCACCACCATCAAGGACATTACCAATAACAGACTGGACAAACTTCAATCCCCTGCAAGGGTATACATAATCCCTTGTAATGACTGCAGCAAATTATAAGTTGGCGAAACATCCAGAGACCTCCAAACACGTATTTCAGCACACCAGCACCCAAGCAGATCTGACGATTTAAGGAATGCCATTTTAACTGTGATGTCAGTACGCTTTTAACAAGACAGCTACTGAGTGAATGACAGTGAATGTATTCCTTTTTTTTTTTTGGGGGGGGGGGGGTCACCCTACCTTGATGGGAGATGCTGTTTGTTAAAAATAATCAACTCATTAACCTTATATGATTACCATGTTAGGTGCTGTTTTGACTGTTTCTTATATTAATTTTTCTTTCTTTATTCAACACACCAGCCATAGCCCACCAAGGCACGGTGGCCCAAAAAGAAAAACAAAAGTAGTTTCTCTTTTAAATCTAGTAATTTATATGGGAAAAGGGGTTACTAGCCCCTGGCTCCTGGCATTTTAGTTGCTTCTTACAACACGCATGGCTTACGGAGGAAGAATTCTGTTCCACTTCCCCATTGAGATAAGAGGAAATAAACAAGAACAAGAACTAGAAAGAAAATAGAAGAATACCCAGAGGGGTGTGTATATATATGTATATGTATATGTATGTGTAGTGTGACCTAAGTGCAAGTAGAAGTAGCAAGACATACCTTAAATCTTGCATGTTTATGAGACAGACAAAAGACACCAGCACTCCTACCATCATGTAACACAATTACAGGTTTTCGTTGTACACTCACTTGGCAGGACGGTAGTACCTCCCTGGGCGGTTGCTGTTTACCAACCTACTACCTAGGCTTATATTAATTAACATGATGTAATATTGTCACTACTCAATTATTAATGTAATAAAAACTGTCAGTTCAGTTTAGGTGACTAAGCTACTGTTTACTGTGCAGTAGTTTTGACAATTATTCATATCTTAGTAGGTCTGAAATGCTCTGCATAATGAGTGGCTTTCCATTAAACTTCAAACCCAAGCCACATATCTTTTGTAACCATTTTCAAGTTTTTTGACAGTAAAGATATGTATTTGTACTAATAGAGTTTTAAAATAGATTTGCTTTATACAGCTACATAAATTGACAATATCTTATTGACATTTTTTAAATTTTTTATTACACCAAAAAAACTATATTTTACAATCATTAATGAAGAAGTCTAATATATACCTTAATACAGTACGTATTAACAAAAATGTATTTATATACAGTGGACCCCCGGTTAACGATATTTTTTCATTCCAGAAGTATGTTCAGGTGCCAGTACTGACCGAATTTATTCCCATAAGGAATATTGTGAAGTAGATTAGTCAATTTCAGACCCCCAAACATACACGTACAAATGCACTTACATAAATACACTTACATAATTGGTCACATTGGGAGGTGATCGTTAAGCGGGGGTCCACTGTACATACTGTTATAGGAAAAAATAGATTAACATTAAGTGTAAAATAATATCAAGTATAGGATAGCTATTTGTAAGTAGAAGAAAGGCTGACCTGGAGGAGTGCTGTAGTGAGTGAAGGCAGACCAACAGTACATGACACGTGCAGTGGACTTTCTCCATCAGCGTTGACTACGTTACAATTAGCACCTTGTGTGGTGAGAAACAGACCTGCTTCTTCCAGACCATTGCGTGCCACAAGATGGAGGATAGACTCCCCACTGGTGCCCACAACCTATGGAAATGAAAAGCTAAAAAAATCTTCCTGAATCAAAATCTTTGTCATACATGAACATTATTTTTAATATTCACTGTTTTTAAATTCAGGTAAAAACAGTGACCACTTTGTCTTTAACTTCAGTTTTCTTTATCAATTTTTGGTTGCTTGGAATGTTTGTACTCAAGTTATAAGATACATACAAGATATTATGACTGATTCTACATTCAACAAAATGGACAATAATCCATGTTCCAGTACGGAATACACTAGGAAATTTGTATACTAAGATTGATGTAAATGGGCTTTATATAAATTAGAAAAAATTTGCTCTCAAATTTGCCAGGTACAATATCCAACAATTATATGAAGAACACCTTATAAAACTAATGATAAAAAGACTGAATAAAATGAAAGAACCTTATTTATAGAAGTACACAATATTTTGTTCACATGTAGTGAAATTCCTCATGTAAACTTGAGACAGTTCACTTATGTTTTCTTAAGTCTTTTTATCACTACCCATCAACAGGTGTCACAAGTTTACTCCATTACAAAAATACTAAATATTGATGCTTCAAAGTTAAAATTTTAAGTGATCTTGATGTAGCATTTTTTTTTATGAGCCTGAGGTGAATAAATTACAGTGGAACCTCGGCACTTGAACTTAAATGATTCCAGAAAGCTGTTCGAGTGCTGATCTGTTCGAGTACAGAACAAATTTTTCCCAGCCAATTTTCTTTTTGGTTGGTTGTTATCACTAACCCTCTTAGGCCCCATGGTGACTTATTTATACAAATAATATAAAAAACACCAATAAATGCGAAGAAACGCAAAATAGTTTACAGCGAAGTTTTGGCAGGTCATGTTTCTTTGGTCAAGTGCTGACCAAATGGTCGACTACTGAGATACCGAATTGTTCGAGTACAGAGCTGTTCAAGTACTGAGGTTCCATTGTATGTATGAAAACACAAAATTTGTTTATACTCTTCACAACATATACCAGTCAACTCAGGGCTGTTGCAATACACCAATGTGTCATTCATATACGTACATACTGTACATTCACCTGTTATTCACATCTGATAAAATCCAATTACTGTTGTATTCATAGGGGAAGGGGAGTGCAAAACCTGCCAGGGTCATACAGTGCTTGGGGAATGGTTGGTATCAGATCTGATCTAAGGAATGAGAGGATAGTTCAAATCCTTTAGATGAAGAGTTCTTCACCAGCATCAAGAGATAAAACCTGAGGTAGGTCAGGTTTTATTTCTTGGTCCTTTCTTATGTTCTTATTTCTTGGGTGGCATTGAAAATTGTGTTGGGCAAAAGTTTTGTTAGTGGGATGGATTGTAAAGGACCTGCCAAGTATGGGCCAACAGGCCTGTTGCAGTGTTCCTCCTTTCTTATGTTTTTATTACTTTATAAATGAAGTAACTATCAGATAACTGACATTATCCAAAATCAGGACTACTGTGTTAAGGTCATAAACTTGAATTAAAGTAATGGAACATAAAGTGGCTGTCATTAACAAAGGACATTTATCTTTATACATTTTACAGCATATGCAGCTCATCAGATCTTGAGATGAATGATATAAATCTGAAAAATTTCTTAACATACAGAATTTGAATCACATTTCAAGAAACTACCAATAGTATATACAGTGGAACCTCAGTTTTCGTGATTAATCTGTTCTAAGAAATCTGACGAAAACCGAAATGTACGAAAATTGAAGCAATATTTCCCATAAGAAATAATGTAAATCCCAAAAATATTAACAAAAATACATTTTATAGAGAATAACTATAGTTTTACACACAGAAAACAATGAGGAATAAATATAAATCAATAATGAAATGGATAAGTGAATATTTAACATCACTTTTACCTTTACTGAAGACACTTGTTGGCGTATGGAAGACGGCAAGGAGGGGGGAGGGAGGAGGAGAGGTTATTGTTTGGAAGAGAAATCCCCTTCCATAAGGACTTCAAGCATCAAGGCCCTATCCGGGGTTACTTCGCTTCTCTGTCTTTTACTGGCATATAGGACCAGCTTGAGAGTCACTGTACCCATGTCGCACAAAAAATCTGTCCAGAGAGCTCTATTTCTGGCATCTCTAAGATTTGCCTAAAATGGGACAAGACATTGTCATTCAACATGTTGTAGATGCAGCTTGCAATAGCATTGTTAGGGTGATATTTCTCCACAAAACTTTGCAACTCACTCCACTTTGCACACATGTCCTTAATCACTGAAGAAGGCACATTCTCCCCTCTCTCTCTACCTTCTCCTCTGAAGCAATTTCCTCAGCTGTGGTCTGTTGCAGTTCCAGTTGAAGGTCTTGCAGCTCTTCAGTGGTTAGCTCTTCCCTGTGGTCGTCCATCAACTCTTTCTTCCACATCCTGGCCACTCACATCCAACCCCATGGACTTCCTCAAAGACACGATAGATTCCACAATAGGCGTAGGGTCATCAGGGTCAGTCTCAAACCTTTCAAAATCCTTCTCGAGGACACATTCTGGCCACAATTTTCTACAAGCAGAGTTCATCGTCCTGGAAGTCACTCCCTGCCAAGCCTTACCTTTAACCCTTACAGGGTCCGTGCCGTAAATCTATGGCTTTATGTTGAGGGTCCAAACCATAGATCTACGCCAAAATTCTAGTGGCGTCAAATTTAGCGCAAGAAGGCTGGTAGGCCTACATCTGAGAGAATGGGTCTGGGTGGTCAGTGTGCGCACTATAGAAAAAATCTGGATGCCTGCATGGCATTGTGGGAACGCCGCCAAAGTAGCTTTGTTCATCATGCCTGGCAACAAGGAAGCTCTCACTCCTCACTCATTCTCCTGGCGAATTCTGACTCTCAGAATGGAGTGAATGATGGTGAAAGTTTTTCTTTTTCGGGCCACCCTGCCATGGTGGGAATCGGCCAGTGTGATAAAAAAAAAAAAAAAAAAAGAACATAAGAAACATAAGAAAGGAGGAACACTGCAGGAGGCCTGTTGGCCCATACTAGGCAGGTCCTTACAATTCATCCTACTAACAAAACATTTGCCCAACCCAATTTTCAATGCCACCCAAGAAATAAGCTCTGATGTGAAAGTCCCACTCAAATCCAACCCCTCCCACTCATGTACTTATCCAACCTAAATTTGAAACTACCCAAAGTCCCAGCCTCAATAACCCAACTAGGTAGACTGTTCCACTCATCAACTACCCTATTTCCAAACCAATACTTTCCTATGTCCTTTCTAAATCTAAACTTATCTAATTTGAATCCATTACTGTGGGTTCTCTCTTGGAGAGACATCCTCAAGACCTTATTAATATCCCTTTTATTAATACCTATCTTCCACTTATACACTTCGATCAGGCCCCCCCTCATTCTTCGTCTAACAAGTGAATGTAACTTAAGAGTCTTCAATCTTTCTTCATAAGGAAGATTTCTAATGCTATGTATTAATTTAGTCATCCTACGCTGAATGTTTTCTAACGAATTTATGTCCATTCTGTAATATGGAGACCAGAACTGAGCTGCATAATCTAGGTGAGGCCTTACTAATGATGTATAAAGCTGCAGTATGACCTCTGGACTTCTGTTGCTTACACTTCTTGATATAAATCCCAGTAATCTATTTGCCTTATTACGTACGCTTAGGCACTGCTGTCTTGGTTTAAGGTTGCTGCTCACCATAACCCTCAAGTCCTTTTTGCAATCTGTATGGCTAAGTTCTACATCATTTAACTTATAAGTACATGTACTAGGGTTATGGGCACTCCCAAGCTTCAGAACCTTGCATTTATCTACATTGAGCTGCATCTGCCACTTTTCTGACCAAGAACAGAGTTTGTTTAAATCCTCCTGAAGTTCCATAACATCTACGTTTGAATCAATTATCCTACCTATCTTTGTGTCATCGGCGAATTTGCTCATATCACTAGTAATTCCCTCATCAAGATCACTGATATACATTATAAACAACAACGGGCCCAAGACTGATCCCTGTGGAACGCCACTTGTTACAGATCCCCACTCGGATTTAACCCCATTTATGGACACACTCTGCTTCCTGTCAGTGAGCCATGACTCGATCCACGAGAGCACTTTTCCCCCAATGCCATGAGCTGCCACTTTCTTTAACAGTCTATGGTGCGGAACTCTATCAAAAGCCTTACTAAAATCTAAGTAAATAATATCAAATTCTTTATCGTGGTCAACAGCCTCAAAAGCTTTACTGAAGAAAGTTAATAAATTAGTTAGACAAGACCGGCCTCTTGTGAATCCATGCTGAGTATCATTAATCAAGCTATGCTTATCGAGATGGCTTCTTATAATCTCAGCTATAATTGACTCTAGTAATTTGCCTACAATTGAGGTCAGGGTTATTGGGCGGTAATTTGACGGTAACAACTTGTCCCTTGTTGTAAAAATAGGAATTACATTAGCCATCTTCCACATATCAGACACTACACCTGTTTGAAGAGATAAATTAAAAATATTAGTTAATGGTTCACAGACTTCCATTTTGCATTCCTTAAGAACCCTTGAAAAAACCTCATCAGGACCCGGCGACTTATTTTGCTTCAGTCTGTCTATCTGCTTCACAACCATTTCACTAGTGACTGTGATGTTACATAATTTATCTTCTTCTAGCCCACTATAAAAATTAATTACTGGAATATTGTTAGTATCTTCCTGTGTAAAAACTGAGAGAAAATAATTATTAAAAATCGAGCACTTTTCATTCTCTTTGTCAGTAAGGTGCCCATAGTTATTTTTAAGGGGACCTATCTTATCTCTAACTTTTGTTCTATAGACCTGGAAAAAACTTTTTGGGTTAGTTTTAGAATCCCTAGCAACTTTAATTTCATAGTCCCTTTTAGCTTTTCTTATCCCCTTTTTAATGTCCCTCTTAATGTCAATATACTGATTCATAAGATGACCCTCACCTCTTTTGATACGCCTATAAATTCCTTTCTTATGCCCTAGTAGATATTTGAGCCAATTATTCATCCATTTTGGGTCATTTCTATTTGATCTAATTTCTTTATATGGGATAAACGTTCTTTGAGCAGCATGTACAGTGGACCCCCGGTTAACGATATTTTTTCACTCCAGAAGTATGTTCAGGTGCCAGTACTGACCGAATTTGTTCCCATAAGGAATATTGTGAAGTAGATTAGTCCATTTCAGACCCCCAAACATACACGTACAAACGCACTTACATAAATACACTTACATAATTGGTCGCATTCGGAGGTGATCGTTATGCGGGGGTCCACTGTATAGTGTTCAGAAAACTGTCATATTGATAGCTCACTTCGTTACCCCAGTCAACAGATGATAAGTGTTCTCTAAGCCCATCGTAATCTGCTAAGCAAAAATCTGGGACTGTTACTGAGTTATCGCTACTATCGTACTTCCATTCAATGCTAAATGTACAGTGGACCCCCGCATAACGATTACCTCCAAATGCGACCAATTATGTAAGTATATTTATGTAAGTGCGTTTGTATGTGTATGTTTGGGGGTCTGAAATGGACTAATCTACTTCACAATATTTCTTATGGGAACAAATTCGACCAGTACTGACACCTGAACATACTTCTGGAGTGAAAAAATATCGTTAACCGGGGGTCCACTGTAATTGATTTGTGGTCGCTAGCACCCAGTTACTCTGAAATTTCTAAATTATTAACAAGGGATTCATTGTTTGCCATAACTAAGTCAAGCAGGTTATTTCCCCTTGTAGGTTCTGTCACAAATTGCTTCAAAAAACAATCCTGAACTACTTCTAAGAAGTCGTATGATTCTAAATTCCCAGTCAAGAAATTCCAATCAATATGACTAAAGTTAAAGTCTCCTAGAATTACTACATTATCGTGCCTTGTGGCCTTAACAATTTCCTCCCATAGTAGTCTCCCTTGGTCCCTATCTAAGTTTGGGGGACGGTATATCACTCCTAAAATCAGTTTTTCATGCCCCTCTGAAAATTCTATCCAACAGACTCTGTATGTGTTTACTTCAGACTTAATACCCGTTTTATGCAACAGTTCAAGCGATCTCGGACATTACAATGCCACCCCACCCCCCTTCCCGATACTTCTATCTACTTGGAACAATTTAAAACCTGAATAATGACATTCCACAGGCATTGTCCCGACTTTTTGAATTAAACCACGTCTCAGTTAAGGCAAATACATCATGTTACCTGCACTAGCAACTAATCTCAACTCGTCCATCTTATTCCTAGCACTACGGCAATTAGTATAATAAACATTGAAAGACTCTCCTTTCTCTTTACCCTTCCTGCTCATTTCTGTTTTTCTACTAAACCTATTACTGTCCTTATCACCCAGAGTCCCTGGCTTTTCAATATCTACCTCGTTCTGCTTATTACTAGTTCCCCTAGAACTCATAATATTACTACACTGGGACTTCACTGTTTTCCTGCCAAAACCCATACCACTAACTATTCCTAGTTTAAAGTCCTAACTGCTCCCTCCACTGCAGTTGCCAGTGCTACCACTCCAGACCTAGATAAGTGAATCCCATCCCAGGCATACATGTCATTTCTGCCATAGAAGAGGTCCCAGTTGTCAATGAATGTTACCGCATTTTCCTTACAGTATTTGTCCAGCCAGCAATTGACAACAATTGCCCTGGACAACCATTCATTTCCAACTCCTCTCCTTGGCAAAATACCACATATGACAGGGTTCCCACCCTTACTCCTAATTATTTCTATTGCTGACCTATACCTGCTAATCAGGTCTTCACTCCTACGTCTGCCAACATCGTTGCCTCCAGCACTGAGACAGATAATAGGATTGCTCCCATTACCTCTCATGATGTCATCCAGACAGCTAACAATATCCTCCATCCCAGCCCCAGGAAAGCAAACTCTCTGTCTCCTACTCCTGTCCTTCAAGCAGAACGCCCTATCCATATACCTAACTTGGCTATCCCCAACATTAAATTAGACAAGTTTAGATTTAGAAAGGACATAGGAAAGTATTGGTTTGGATATAAGGTAGCTGATGAGTAGAACAGTCTACCTAGTTGGGTTACTGACGCTAGGACTTTGGGTAGTTTCAAATTTAGGTTGGATAAAAACATGAGTGAGAGGGGGTGGGTGAATTTGAGTGGGACCTGCATATGAGTGGATAGAGTTATCAGAGCTTATTTCTTGGGTAGCATTGAAAATTGGGTTGGGCAAATGTTTTGTTAGTGGGATGGATTGTAAAGGACTTGCCTAGTATGGGCCAACAGGCCTGCTGCAGTGTTCCTCCTTTCTAATGTTCTTATGTTCCTCTTCACAACTTACAGTTCTAAGACTGATGAAAGTGGATCTGAAGAGGAATTCTATGGTTTTGAACCATATGATACCATTGTACCATACGGTACAATGGTATATGGTACCATTGTACCATATGGTACAATGGTACCATATGATACAATAGTTCCATATGGTACAATGTACCATATGATACAGGGTACAGGGACCCTAATGGAAATAAGTCTGTGACTTTTTTTGGGTTATCCTAGGTTCTCCAAACATATGCTGCTATGTATGATAATCTATGTAACTTTATTTGTTTATACCTAAATAAACTTACGATGCCACATCTGCTTGAGTAAGTTTATTCAGGTGTACACAAATACAGTTACATGGATTATCATACATAGCAGCATATGTATAAAATCCTAGGATAACCCAAAAAAGTCAGGGTGACTTATTTCCATAGGGATCCCTGTATCTGTACTATATGGTGTCCTGTACCATATGGTACCCTGCACCATATGGTACCCTGCACCATATGGCACCCTGTAACATATGATACCATGTACCATATGGTCAGTTAGAGATGTTGATGCCACCAGGCACCAGTCAAGACTGAGTGGTGACACAAGCTGGCTAGTGACTCGGCGGTTTCCAAGACAAAGCGCTTTGTCATCCACCTCAAGGAAGATGTCGAGTGGCTGTACATTTGTAAATATATAATAGAACATTACTAATATACAACATTTTTGCATATTTTTGTTGTAAACAATTATTGTAAACGAAATAATGATGAAAATATTAGTGTGTTTATTGTGTTGAGTACAGTACCATATAGTACCATATGGTACAATGTACCATATGGTACAATGTACCATATGGTACAATGAACCATATGGTATCATTGTACCATACAGTACAATGTACCATATGGTACAATGTATCACATGGTACCATTGTATCATATGGTGCCATTGTACCATATTGTACCATATGGTATCATTGCACCCTATGGCACCATTGTACCATATGGTACCGTTGTATTCAACACAATAACTGCACTAATATTTTCATCATTTTGTTTACAATAAACTTGTAAACAATATAATGATAAACAAATTAGTGCAGTTATTGTGTTGAATACAATGAGTGTTCACTTATACAATATACATTATACTGGTGTCACAGGCCACAAATGTTACTAGAATAAGAAAAAAATTAGAAAAGAAAAGAAAAAAGTATAAAAAACGTAAAATAAAAAAATGTGATTTTGCGTTAGTCGCTGATGTTGCCGCCACCCGGTCATTTTGGGTCAACTTCCCGCCACTGTATCTCGGTAAGTATTGATCAGAAAATTTTTTTGTTTGTTTTATTACCTTCACAAAAATATTATCTTTAATTCTGTAAAAAAAAAATTTTTTTTTTTCAAAATTTCTTGGACACTGGGGCACCCCTTCAGATTTTGGCCTTGGACCCTGAAAGGGTTAAGGCTTATGCAATTGAGGATATTGAAATGATTTCTCCAGAACTCTCTTAGGGTCAATTCAGTGTCCGAGGTCACTTCAAAGCACCTTTGAAACAGTGCCTTCTTGTACAGCTTTTTGAAGTTTGAAATGACCTGCTGGTCCATGGGCTGGATGAGAAGAGTGGTATTAGGGGGCAAGAACTTCACTGTGATGAAACTAAACTCCTCCAACAATTGGTCTTCCAAGTCTGGAGGATGAGCAGGAGCATTGTCCTTTACCAGGAGGCACTTGAATGGCAATTAATTTTCCAGGAGGTATTTCTTCACACTCGGGCCAAACACTTTATTGACTTGGCAAGATTGGCCATGCATACGCCACTTTCATACTTTGCAATGAGCTCTTTCTTGAATTCTATCGTGTTTCTTGCCTTGTTTATCAAAGGGCTGGCACTCGGAATTTTCTTTGGCCCCACTGTGGCTTATTTAGCAGTCGCACTCAATAACCAAGCACAAAAAAAACAATAGATTATTACGAAATGTTTTGGATGAACGAGCGGGGTGATGCTCAATCAACGAGAAACAAAGGCAGACTGACTCATGAATGCATGGGATGCTTTGTGTGGGTGCTTGAGTGGCCGAGTCATGCGGATGCATTTGGTACAAACTATTTTTTAACTCTATGAAAACTGAGCGGATGTACAAAAACTGGGACAAAATTTAGATGAAAAAAGTCGTCGAACACCAAATCCTATGAAAATTGGGGCAAACAAAAATCGAGGTTCCACTGTACTTAACTACGAAATATTGAGTTTTATAGTCAAGTCATGACTTAGGTTTTAAGAAAATCAGAGCAATGACATGTCTGCCAGTTTCATATTCTCTAAAAACTAAATACTTAAAATAGTTTACTGTAAATAATTTTTAACATAGTAAAATAATTCATAAAAAAATAGTAAGATACTCAAATAATTCATAAAAATAATAAAATATTAAAATAATTTATAAAATATTAAATTCATCTCAAAAGACAAAATATGTCAAAAGCAGCTTTTGTCTTACTAATTCCTCTTAAATCACAAAGAAACAGGTATGAAAGTGGCATTGAACTTACTGCATCTGGTGATGCACCTTTCTTGATAAGAAGTGCAGCAAATGATCCATCAGCAAAATCTGTGCTCTTTGTCAGAGCATACCACAAAGGTGGATATCCAAACTTGTCTCTCAGCTCTAGGCGCAGATTGTCATGTTCAATCAGTACACGGAACACTTCCACTCTTTCTCCTTCCACTACTAAATGCATAACTGTCCTGTAAAGTAGCAAGCTCTGAATCTTAATTCATTGTATAAGTAAAGATATACAGCACAGTAGTTATTTATAAATACTGACAACCAGATGTGAGTCTGGGTAAGGTACGAGAGGCAGTGGGTAGAATGAAAGGAGGTGAAGTAGCTGTGGTAAATGGGATTAAGACATAAATGTTAAAAGTAGTAGGGTCATAGTTTTGGAGTGGCTGGTGCAATCATTCAATATATGCATGACAGGGAGGGAAGGTACCTAAGGAATGGCAGTGAATATCCTTAGTTCCTTTGTACAGTACACAAATAACCCGCACATAAAAAAGAGAGAAGGTTATGACGACGTTTCGGTCCGACTTGGACCATTTACAAAGTCACACTAACCAGAAGTGGAGCAGGATGGCTATATATAGGCAGGAAGAGGTGGTGGTAGTAGTAGTAGTAGTACAAGAATGGTATATAATACCGACAAGATGAAATTAAGACACATGAGCAACATCTGGGCATCCCTAACATAGACTCTTCGCCATCCAGCCAGCCACTGGATGGCGAAACGTCCACAGCAAAGACACCCAGACGCCGCACATGTGTCTTAATTTCATCAGTAGTAGTAGTAGTAGAAGAGGTAGTAGTAGTGGTAGAAGTGGGGAATAAGGAGGACGAGCCAGTCAAATACAAAGGAAGGGGAGCACTGCAAGGGAGCTAGGTGCCCACAGAGGGAGAGCAAGCGCACAGAGATGCACTTGCTCCTTCCCTACATTTCCGGTCTTTCTTATCTCAACAATTCTCTCCGTCGCCAGACTAATACTCTTCGCACTAATCTCATTCATACCTCTCCTCCCTCTACAGATGTTCCTGGTGTCTACTCTATTTCTTGCTCCTCCTGTCCTCTTCAATACTTCAGAGAAACTGGTCGATCTCTTTCTGACAGACTTAGGGAGCACAAAAATAGTGTTAGGCTTGCTGACACTAACAATGCTCTTTTCTGTCACGTCAGAGATCATAGCCATCCTATTGACTGGTCTTCTGCTAAAACTGTCTTCCCTACTTCCAACTCGAACAGTCGCCGTCTAGTTGAATCCTCTCTAATACACAACTTTCCTTGTATGAATCTTAGCCCTGGCTTCGTCTCTGTAGATGCCTTCCTCTCCCACTACATTGTAAAATGCTCCAAACTTCAGAACACCCGTGACTTAACCTGACTCCTAATTTTTCTTTTTCTTTTTCTTTTTCTTTTTCTCCCTCTTCCCCTTTCCTCTTTCCTTTTTCTCCTCTGGGTTGTCTTTCTCTCTTCTGTCTCATGTTTCTGTTCCTTCTTCTTTTATTTCACCACTTCCCCTTCACGCACCTCTGTGTGCTTGCTCTCCCTCTGTGGGCACCTAGCTCCCTTGTAGTGCTCCCCTTCCTTTGTATTTGACTGGCTCGTCCTCCTTATTCCCCACTTCTACCACTATCACTACTACTACTACTGATGAAATTAAGACACATGTGCGGCGTCTGGGTGTCTTTGTTGTGGACGTTTCGCCATCCAGTGGCTGGCTGGATGGTGAAGCATCTACGATAGGGATGCCCGGGTGTTGCGCATGTGTCTTAATTTCATCTTGTCGGTATTATATACCATTCTTGTACTACTACTACTACTACTACTACCACCACCTCTTCCTGCCTATACATAGCCGTCCTGCTCCACTTCTGGTTAGTGTGACTTTGTAAATGGTTCAAGTCGGACTGAAACATCGTCGTAAGCTTCTCTCTTTTTTATGTGCGGGTTATTTGTGTATCGTTCCAGTCACGGTATTGTGCCTTTTTTTGTTATTCCTTTGTACAGTATAAGAAAAAATGGGGTATGTATAAGAATTATAGGGAAATAAGCAATGTACCTCAGTGTACTAGCAATTTTTTTTTTCAATAAAGTGGCCATATCCCACAGAGGCCGGGTGACCTAAAAAGAAAAACGAAAGCTTCTCTCTTTTTTTTTATTAACACATCAGCCATTTCCCACCAAGGCAGAGTGGCCTGAAAAAGAAAAACTTCCATCAACATTCACTCCATTACTGTCTTGCCAGAGGTGTGTTTACACTACAGTTATAAAACTGCAACATTAACACCCCTCCTTCAGAGTGTAAGTACTGTACTTCCCATCTCCAGAACTCAAGTTTGGCCTGCTGGTTTCCCTGAATCCCTTCATAAATGTTGCCTTGCTCACACTCCAACAGCACATCAAGTCCTAAAAACCAACTGTCTCCATTTGCTCCTATCTAACACACTCACGCATGCTTGCGTGAGCATGTTAGATAGGAACAACTCGCACACAACACCTCCTTTACCCCTTCCTTCCAACCTTTCCTAGGCCAACCCTTATCCTGCCTTCCCTCCACTACAGATTTATAGTCTTGAAGTCAATCTATTTCGTTCCATTCTCTCTACATGTCTGAACCACCTCAATAACCCCTCCTCAGCCCTCTGGATGACAATTTTTGTAATTCCACACCACCTCCTAATCCCCAAGCTACAGATTATCTGCATTATATTCACACCACACATTGCTCTCAGAAATGACATCTCCACTGCCTCCAGCCTTCTCCTTGTTGCAACATTCACCACCCATGCCTCACACCCATATATAAGCATTGATATAACTATACTCTCATACATTCTCCTCTTTGTTTCCATGGATAAAGTTCTTTGTCTCCACAGACTCCATCAGTGCACCACTCACCTTTTTCCCCTCGTCAATTTTATGATTCATCTCATCTTGATTCATCTCATCTTTCATAGACTCATCTGCTGACATGTCCACTCACAAATATCTGAATACATTCACCTCCTCCATATGCTCTCCCTCCAAACTGACATCCAATTTTTAGCTACCTAATTTTTTTTGTTATCCTCATCCCCTTGCACTTTCCTATATACACTTTTAATTTCCTTCTTTTACATACCCTACCAAACACATCCACCAACCTATGTAACTTCTCTTCAGAATCTCCCAAAAGCACATTTTCATCAGCAAAGAGCAACTGTGACAACTCTCACTTTGTGTTAGAATCTTTATCTTTAAATTGAGTAATGTATACAGGAGAAGCAGTTTCTAGCCCCCTGCTCCCAGAATTTTAGTCATCTCCTAAGACACTCATGGCTTACTGCGTGGCTTATGGAAGAAGAATTCTGCTCCAGTTCCCCATGGAGTATACTAACAAACGTGGTTACAAAATTACACTCTCAAATGACATTGATAGAGTCGAGTTCAATAGTTGCAACAACCACAGGTTAACATGGCTGTGAAGGTCCCTGAGTTGAAAGAATGGTTGTGAAGATTCCTGGGTTGATAGAATGGTTGTGAAGGTCCCTTGGTTGATGGAATGGTTGTGAAGATCTCTGGGTTGATAGAATGGGTGTGAAGGTACCTGAGTTGATAGAATGGCTGTGAAAGTCCCTGGCTTAACCCGTAAATGGTCCAAACATATATATACGTTCACTACCCCAGTGTCCCGAATATTTTGAAAAATAATTTTTTTTTTTTTTAATGAAAATAAGAGCACATTTTTCTAAGTGTTATAGGATAAAAAAAAATTAGGGTCAGTACTTACAGAGATATGAAGCCGAGAAGTTGGCACTGGATGCTCAGCTGACAGCAACATCGAGTCTTGCCGCTTGCAGATGAGTTGCCGATATACCTTTTTTCTATTTTTCATATTATTTATATAATTTTTATGTTCTGATAAATACAATTTATAGTAGTTCTTGTCATTTCATAACCAATCTTTGTTCTGACACTACTATTAGGTACTCAAATTGTCACAAACACACTGACAGATGGACATTTACACCTGCCTTGGCCATTCACTATTGTCTTGGAATATATACAAAGTATTTATAGGTCACAGAAATGTTTTGGATATGTGGAAGTAAAGAAGAAGAAGAAGAAGAAGAAGAAGAAGAAGAAGAAGAAGAAGAAGAAGAAGAAGAAGAAGAAGAAGAAGAAGAAGAAGAAGAAGAAGAAGAAGAAGAAGAAGAAGAAGAAGAAGAAGAAGAAGAAGAAGAAGAAGAAGAAGAAGAAGAAGAAGAAGAAGAAGAAGAAGAAGAAAATAATAATAATAATTATAGGTAGTAGGTTGGTAGACAGCAACCGCCCAGGGAGGTACTACCGTCCTGCCAAGTGAGTGTAAAATGGAAACCTGTAATTGTTTTACATGATGGTAGGATTGCTGTTGTCTTTTTTCTGTCTCGTAAACATGCAAGATTTCAGGTATGTCTTGCTACTTTTACTTACACTTAGGTCACACTACACATACATGTACAAGTGTATATATACACACCCCTCTGGGTTTTCTTCTATTTTCTTTCTAGTTCTTGTTCTTGTTTATTTCCTCTTATCTCCATGGGGAAGTGGAACAGAATTCTTCCTCCGTAAGCCATGCGTGTTGTAAGAGGCGACTAAAATGCCGGGAGCAAGGGCCTAGTAACCCCTTCTCCTGTATAAATTACTAAATTTAAAAAGAGAAACTTTCGTTTTTCTTTTTGGGCCACCCTACCTTGGTGGGATATGGCCGGTTTGTTGAAAAATAATAATAATAATAATAATAATAATAATAATAATAATAATAATAATAATAATAATAATAATAATAATAATAATATGTAATAATAGGTTCCCTTGAAACATGAAAAACAAGCTTCAGCCCACCCCTGACAGTGACGTGATGAGATAACATTAGATAAGAGCTGACACTTGATGAGCATACGCGAGGGTGCAGTGATAAGACTTGATAAGATTAGAGGTGACATCTGATGAGCATTGGCCCTCGCTTTGTTTTCGCTGGTACACAAACATTTCTGTCCGTCTATTTGTCTGTCAAGCTCCTTTCCTATCTATCTATCCGTCTAGCTCTCTGTCTCAGAGAGAGCCACAAGACTGCATCATTATGTTTACTCATATCTTCAAAAAGAGTATAGCACTTTGTCTGGATTTTTTGTGTTATCCTAGGTAATTTACACTATGTATACTTGT